CTATGGCTCTACTGGTTTTGATGAGAGGAATGCTGTCTTGGTCGTTGATACTGTTTTGTAAGATTTGACTTGGTGTGTGGACCTCTTTCTTTGGTTTCTATCTGGATAAGAATTTATCATGCCTTAAATTGGGTGAGTGCAGAAGCTAGTAATTGTAGCTAAGCCAGGTAAAGGTGGTGGATAGGCTGTTTAATTGGACCAGGCAAAGATGGCTCCTAAAACCCAGGACCAGAACTTGGTCTATTTGTATAGAGATAGCATCAGGCAGAGGGAAGAACTGGAGAGGAAAGGAGTATCTCAACAGTCAGATGTGGCTTGCAAACAGAGCAGGTTTGAAGGACTTGAATCTTGAGGTTATGGAGATGGAAACAAGATATTGAAGGACGGTTGATGGAAGAAGCAATTTACCAGGCAAAGGTGGCTGGTGAACAAAGAAGCTAAGCTGCAGATTTGGATCTGAGCTTCTGGGTCTGTAAATGGCAGTGCGCAGTAGTGGGAAGATAGAATTTTGATGGAAAAGGTGTTTTTCCTTTTTTAAAAAAATAATGTTGGCTCCAGAACATGTAAAAATAAAATAGTAATAACAAATTACATATTTATTTGTTTCTTGCCTAGAAAAAATACATTTTTCAGGTTCTATGTAAACATTTAGAGAAACAAAGGTAACAGTACATCTTCACATAGAAACTCTACTTATTTGATTAAATCCTTTAAAACAACAGCTTTTGAAATAAATACTAACCCAAGACTATCTATAGCTTTAATGCCATATCACGGTTAGATACCCACATTCTCAAGACCAGTGTCAAATGCCCAAGCCTGGTATTTATCTTAGAACTCTCAGAGAAAGGAGTCCTTGATTTGCCAGTGAGGTCATATGTGATTCTAAGCATCAGATCACGACAATAAATTATTGGAACCATCGGGAAAGCATCAGATTCATCCTCTTTCCTGTGTCTGTGCTGAAACACCATGGTTTGCTGAAGTAGTAAATTCAAGGAAAGCATGGAGAGCAGTCAGGCTGAGTTAGGTCAGGAGTCTGTGCCTCCCGAAATTGTTTAGAAGGACCCCCTTAGCTTTCCTGGTTATGGTTCCTTCTTGGCTTCTCAAATGCAAAGACTGAACAAGTTGTCATGTGCAGAGATTGTGTCTTATACACCAGTGTGGATGCAGACCCCTGCGGGACTTACAGGCCTGTCAGAGGTGGCTGGGACCTTCCTTGGTGGTTGGAAAGGTGACACTTTACTTAAAATAGAAAGTGAAAGCAGAAAGACACATTGAATCCTACAAGAAAAAACATGCTGCACAAAGGAGGTTTGAACACAGCAAAGGGAGAGGAGAGCTTAAAACCATCATTATTTGCAGTGGTGTGACTTGGATTGAAAAGAAAGACAATGTGAGAACTATCATGCACCCAAGAACCTACCGTGAGTACAAACTACAGCATCTTCTTGTGTTTGGGGTCAGATGGGACATCCTGCAGGAAAATGGCATAGGTCAGCCTTTTAGGAGTTATAGTCCCACCTTCATCTGTCGTCTGACCATCTGTATCTTTTTCTGTCATCTACTGATCCATGCATCCATTTGTCTGACTAGCTCTGCTAGGATATATGATCAGAGCATTTTATTTGAATAGTGTGGGGCACGGATAGTATATGCAGTTGAATTAGCTTAGAATAATTCTTCTAAAATCTTAGCTTTTATTGGGGTTGTAAGAGAAAATGTGTACATTGAAAATAACCCCTTAAGGGTTAAACCAGCCCAGTCTTAATCCCTTTGATAACCCCAGAAACAGCTGACCAGACAAAGGTTAACTCTTGAATCCCAGGCATCAGCCTGGGAAGCCAGCATGGGACTGATCAAGACCCCCTGAATGTGGGTGCCAGTGAGGAGGCCTAGGGAACCTATTGAGCCTTGGGCAGCAGATCAGTACCCATCCCAAGTATACACACGGACTTTGGACTCCCATAGAACAATGTGAGGTGCACTCTCTCCCCGAACTCTTGGGGAAGGGTCTAGGCCCTGCCCTATATGAAATGACAGACTATGCACACCCCCATGGAGGGCCTCACCCTCCATGGGGAAATGAGGGGATAACGGGGGGAGGGGGAGGGCTCGGGAGGGAGGGAGGGAATGGGAGAGGGACCTGGAACTGACTTGTGAAGCAACCTTGTTTCTTATCTAAATTTAAACTGGAAAATAAAATTTAAAAAAAAACTCAAACTTATCACCCCAAAATTGGTTTTACACATACAGTTAAATAAACACATTCACATCTAAAAAAAAAAAAAAAAAAAGAAAAAGAAAAAAAGAAAATAACCCCTTAAAACAGCTGCCACAGTCTGAGACTAGATCAGTGAAATCTATACCTTGATAGATCTAATAAATATCTCCAAAATTATAGTTTTCTCAATATTAAGATAATGGTTATTTATATCCCAGAAAATTCTATTTGACAGTTAAAATTGGGTTTTGTTTTTCAGTTTATTCTCTCCATTTCTTTTCCTATGTAATGTTTTGCAAATATTTGAGTCATTTGCTCTGTGGCTTTGATATTTTTGTTGATTCCATATGGAGGCAGCAGCAGTGGTTTTTTCCATTTGACAATAAAGACTTGGGCACTGATCTTTCCTCAGCCAAGCCAGTTTACTTTTTGGACTCTGAGAAGTAGTTGAATCAGGCCATTAAAAAAAAATAAACCAAATCCAAGAAAAATGAACAAGAAATGTTTAGAGTGTTTTTTTAAGGCCAGGACCAGATTCTTATGATATCTGCCTACTCAATACCCTGTGATGACATGAACAGTATGAGTGATAAATACATTTCAAAAGCTCTGTCACACTCACTTGAGCGTTTTCCATTTCTTAACAGCATGGCCTTTAACCTGGAAGGTTATAAGAGCCACACTGAGTATCTCTTCCCTGCACATATAGGAAAGGTAGAATAAGCAAGGATACTCTGTTTTGAATCCATCTCCAGTTTCTGTAAGTGAAGTTGCTGAGATGTCATATCTACCACCATGAAGCAAATACACTTAATGTGGCTTCTTGTGCCGCATGTTTGTGCTTCAGGATTCGATGCTAATCAAGCTCCCAGTGTCAGATGTACAAAGACTTAGAGCAAGGAGCAGGTAGGGAACATTTGCCATATCATTTTCTCTAATCATCTGAAGATGGGCCTCATTTCCATTTTAGTTCATGAATTAGTCTTTTTTTGTTGTTGTTGTTTTCTTTTTCGAGACAGGGTTTCTCTGTGGCTTTGGAGCCTGTCCTGGAGCTAGCTCTTGTAGACCAGGCTGGCCTCGAACTCACAGAGATCCGCCTGTCTCTGCCTCCTGAGTGCTGGGATTAGAGGCGTGTGCCACCACTGCCCGACGATTTAGTCCTTTTAAAGCAAGTGAACTTAGCAACATTTTTGTGGCCTTCAGAGCCGTCCATGGATGTAGAATCAATGAAATTTGAAGCAATGATTGTGAATACAATGCAGTACCGCAGCCATTCCTATAATCTGTCCTCGGGGTCTTCATCTTTACACACTCTGTGGTACTCTGATGTTTGCTCAATTTCAGTTTAACCTGAAAACAACTATGAAAATCTGAAATGCCTAAGCACACACAAGAATTAGAGTGAGGAGAGGCTCAGGTGTAATTAACTAATCAGGACAAGGATGCCTGTAAGGCAGCTGTCCTTCTCCAGAGATTAGTTGCACAGCCATCCATATGAGACTTCTATATCAAGAATATTGGATTTTGGAATACCACATCATGCTGTAAAGGACAAAAGAGTGTACAGAAATAGTTGTTATCATTCCACCTTTTCCATATAATCTGCCTTACACTTACTGAATTCCCTTCCTTTCACCTAAGAAGTTACTTACTGAGTATGTGCCAAGTATTGTTCCACACTCAAGAAATGATAAAAATATAGACACACTTTTCCTCTTCTCAGAGTCAAGTTTGTCAGAGAACACCATCCTTCCTGAGTAGATGTAGGCATCCTTTCTTCTATTATTTCTCCCAAATGGGTGCAGTTGCTAATGGAGGGTAATCATAGCCAACATCCAGCTCCAAATGGAGAGGAGCAGCAGGAGGTCTGGATCAATGGCCCCTGGAGAACTGAGAATTGTCTGTCATTACAATAGACCAGAAGGGGCTCCCTAGCTCCTAACTCCTTGTCTGCCTGATTTCAGCTCAGTCCTATTTAGGAGAGGATCATTAAAGTTGAAGGGGAGGCTTCCCTTGTCCTCAGATGCCTCTGAAGCCTTCTGTACTTGAAGCTGTTACCCTTCCTGAAGACCGGAACCCTGCACTGCTGTTCCCTTGGGGCCCTGTACAGAAGGGACCTTTTTACACAGGGAAGGAAGGCTTGATGAACTACTATTGGCAGCCAGTTTTGCATGGGGGTTATAGTTTTAAATTCCCTCCAGGATCCATGAGGTTACATGGAATAGAGCACAACTAGTGGAAAAAATTAATCCCAATATTGTCTCTTTCCACTAATTTAATACTGGATCCATCTGCATGGTGATTTGGACTGGGGAATGTCTTGTTTGGAATGTCTTTAGGAAGCTTCTGTAAATGGGTCAAATAAGAAAGTATTCTTTGCTTGGAAACAAGATTAGAGTGATCTGATTTCTTCTGATCCCACTGACCATTGAAATACACAAGCCAGACTGTCAGCCACTGTCATCTCTGTTACAAAATATAGTGGCTCACTAACCACATTGCTTGAGCCGAAAGCCTATAGGTCCAGTTTAAACTGCCCTTGTGTTTGTGTGTGTCTGGGCCTAATCTGCTGAGATTGTCCTTTCCAATAGAGTGAATCTTGTTTTGGGGAGAGAAGACTGTCCTATCTACCAACTGGTTTTCTGCCATAACCAGTCTAAAGTGTTCCATTGATCTCCTTGGATTTTTGCCCCCAGACTTTCTTCTCCAGAGACCTGAGGGTGGAGGGGAGGGAAGGCAGCATTGATACCTTTCTTTTTCTTTTTCTTTCTTTCAGATCCAGAAGAGTAGAAAAGACCTCACATAGACTGGGGCTGCCAGTGTCTCGCGCCATTTTAGCCGAGCTTCTTCATTCTCCTACTTCCACAAAGACCCATGTCTGGGGAAGGTGTACAGCTTTCAAAATCAAGTCCCACATTTGGCCTTCTCTCACGCTGTCTCCTCCCAGGGGCCTCTGGGGGTTGTCTTGTGGTCTTAGAATTGTGGGAGATTTTTCCCCCTGAGCACACAAACTCCACTTGAGGTTTGTTTTGCTTTGTGTTCATTTTTGCCCCACTCACAAAG